CTTCAAGATTACATTAGTTCAAATTTGAGACCATGCGAAGGTAGTTCTGACCTATTAAATAGAGTATGGTTGGTGATTTTCATGACTAGGGTTGGGTTCTCAGTCATTGTAGTAGGTAGAATGGGACTCTCGCTCTTTGGTGTTGAGAAGAAGGGACACACTGGTGGTAATCTGTCATGGCACACAATACTACCGAACCCGCAACAAAACTAGTTGGCAATCACCAAACCCAGAAGGGAGATAACAGGCACAATGTCACTATAAAGACATTAAGAAACCGTTTTTTTTTTTTTTTTTTTTTCTGTTTTTGTTTTTTTTAATTATCATATATATATTGATTTTTATTTATGTATAACATGTTATTTTATATATAAATATATATTATTAGGCTAGTTATATATATATTAGGATATATTATATATAGTTATAATATACCCTGGGGTGAAGAGATCAGAGGACGACGAGGCGCGGTTGGTTGAGTACGAGCGACGAAGGGGATGATTGTGACGAAAGACGACAGGAGGGACGACGAGGGCGCATGAGACGAGCAACGAACTGCTGGAGGAGCTGAGATCGCCGAGCTAGAGCCTGAGATCGACGAGTACGAAGCTGAGACGGAGACTGAAGACGAAAGCAGCAATGACGTGACGGCTGGCTGAAGATCGACCCCAGCAGATGATCCATGTTAAAATCACCTACTCTCCACCTACTTCACCCACTTAAACCTACTCCACTAAACCTAACCCACTTACACCACTCACCTCACCTACTCCACTAAACCTAACCCACTACACCACTACCACCTCCACTTCACCTACTTCCTACTACACACACTCACCCTCTTCTATATATAGGAATCATGAAATCATTGTAATAGATATCAATATATCAATCAATAATAATACATTACAATTTATTCTCTCTCTTTCTCTATACATTATTTCTACATGGCTATCAGAGCTTGCGTTTAAAACACCTAATATATTTTCGCTTTCCCCGCTTGGCTGGCAACCTCAGCCTTTAGCCCTCGCCGGATCTCAACCTATTCCGCTGATAAAATCAACAAAAGATTTATTGCAACTGTAGTTCATGTGTGAGGCCTGAGTGGAGAAGAATTCTTCAACCTCATATGACGAGACAGTCTGGAAATTGGAAATCACCTTTGCAATATTCTTGCTATGGGAATTTCTGCAGCAGCTAAGATTTATAGCTTGGTTGAGTGCCAAGCTTTTGGTTTCTTCCACCCACTCTGAACTTTCGCCCAGGCAAAGTTGTGTGGAAGGTTCTGGCATGCTTGTTGGAGGGACTAGTGTGCGCGAAGGTATCAGGCGCATTCTCTCTCAGGGGGTTCATGTGTTGTTTCGTACTCCTGGTCGTTGTTTGGACATGTTGCGGAGGACAATCACTTCGCCCTGTTTACATCAAAATGTTTGTCTTGGATGAAGCTGAATGAAATTCTCTCGAAGAAGAAGAAGAAGAAGAGAAAAAGAGATTTTATATTATATATTTGGAATTGAAATATTTACTCTACATCAACAAAATATATATACAAACCCGAGCATAGTGAAATGACAATCATACCCTCAACTTAAGTAAATATTAACAGAAAGACAATAAAGAAATAAACTAGAAAATAACTATTCTAACAGCATAATATATATATAACAATTAGAATAGAGATTTATACAAAGCAAGTAAAAGCTTTACAGGGTTCCAATCATTTATGAGATTTTTCGTAAGGCATGATTTAGTTAAGGAATCCACATAAAATTATTTCCCCTCTTTCTTAAACAAATTATCTCTATGAATCATAATGTGCATGCCAAGTTATTCACTTGCTACAAATAAGTGAACCTTTTAGATTTTTCAATACCAAAAATAAATAAATAAATAGATAAATAAATGAATTGTTTGCCTTACTACTTTTTAAAAAAAAAATCAGATAGGACACTTGAAAAGAACAGTAAGGAAGATAATTTAATTCATCCATCACATATTTTTCAGGTCATTGTTTGCAGTCTTTCGATTAAGAACTTTATGTGAGTACTTACTTGAACCATCTGCACAGGGCATTTAGTCCGAATGTCATTTAAACAAACAAGAAGGGAATTATTTCAACATTGCTCAAGGAGAATGTCATTAAGACAGAACTGTTAAATCTTTTTCACCCATAAAACTCATTGGGTTCAGCTGCTTAGTTCATGTAAATGAAAACATATTCATAGCCAAGTCTTAAGAGGGTATAGCAACAAATATTTATTCAGCCAAAAAGTAAATATTGTTGAAGAAATTACCGGCCTTAAACTGATTCTATCGGCAGGAGAGGAGCCCAAAATTGCGGCATACCTGAAGAAATAAATAATAACAAATGAAGATAGTCTAAAGCCTCCTATTTGCTGATAGTTATTCACATCAATTTTTACTTCATTTTCGTCTAGACTTCAATTCAAGCAACGAGAGTTCAAAAAACATTTCACTATACTAAACAAAAACATAGAAAAAGAAAGAATTTAAGCAAATATGAATGTGGACATAAATGCTTTGGGAGGCCGTGCAAGCAATTTAAACAATCGTGACAAGTGTTTTCAGGTCTCTCAAAGCATGAGTATCAAGTTATAAGTGTTATACTAATACTGGATTATGACCCCAAAAATGGAAGTCTGGACTAAAAAATAGAGTGCCATAAAGTATAAGCATAAAGAAGGTAACAATTCTTTAGGGGGCGGAAAGAAAGCAAATTTCACCCAGTACCCCTGTTGTTTCCCCAAAATACACTTACTACCTCTCTGGTCCAAGTATTAACTGTAACCTCCCTCATGCAAAGGATGAGTGAAAAATCCCCCACTCCCTTCAAGTAGTTGTATCTCATGTAATAAGCCATTTGAATCCCAATATACCCTTAGTTGTGACACAAGCACTACAACAGACATCAGACAGTGCCTCAAATCACCAGGGTCTGACACCGCCATCCAGTGTCCTCTACACCGTTATGACACTACCAATACAGTGTCCTCTACATGTTATGACACCCCTATACAGTGTCCTCTACAACGTTATGACACCACCATCCAGTGTCTTCACCAATGGTCTGACACGACCATACAGTGTCTCTTATCCTCTTTTATTTTTATGTATTTTCTTGTTTTGTAACTCTCTCCAAACTCAAGTTGGTTAGTTCCTATCCCCTTTGAGTTTGCGGGGGGCTGTTAAAACCTATCACCTACTTCACCCACTTAAACCTATTCCACTAAACCTAACCCACTACACCACTACCACCTCCACTTCACCTACTCCTTACCTACTACACACTCACCCTCTTCTATATATAGGAATCATGAATCATTGTAATAGATATCAATATATCAATCAATAATAATACATACAATTTATTCTCTCTCTTTCTCTATACATTATTATTATTTCTTACAATCCAACTAGGTATGTTTTGAATCCTAACCCTAGAGGTGAAGCTCTGATACCATGAAGCTTGGGTAACCAGCTTAGGGTATGATAGAATATCACCCCCTATTTATAAATGAAGATTAGGGTTTACAAGAAACACAATTACAAGATGATCCCTGAGGGCATAGAATGATTACAGACCCTAGTGTAACTTTCGGCTAATAAAATATGCTAACACTTTCGGCTAATATAAAATGCTAACAGAATAGACTACATCCTTTTGTCTATAGAATCCTGTCTCGAAGAAATATTGAGAAAGATTAGCCAACAAGGATATCAAATCATTACCCTCCCTAGCATTTAGTTTTATGAAAAGAATTAAAATTTCAAGAAATAATGGCCTCAAGGAAATAAGCAGTAGAAGAATGGATGCATTATGAGAATGGGATAGACGATACAAAATGGAAACAACTGAGCAAATGAACCATCCCCTATCCAAGCATCCTCCTGAAAAATGAATACGGTCACATTCCAAGCCATAAAATGAATGAACTCTGAGAATGGACAATTCCCTAAGAAATGCACTTCCACGGAGATCTAGAATTTCCCCTATAAGCGTCATAAAATCCCAACCATTGGATTGAAACTCATACTTGCTCTTAATCACAACATGCCAAAAAGCATCTCTTGACAGGGAATCTTCTTAACCATTGGCATAACAATGCTTTGTTCTTAGCAATAATGTTTTCAATGGCATGAGTGCTTCACATTATGGGAGGGTTACCACATATTTAACCTATCCATTGGGAAATTAGCACTCACAATGGCACTTTTATTTATATTCACCCCAAGTACAGAAGCCACCTTAGTAGTTCTCAAAATGGAAAGCTAATTAACAATGCTATTTTCTTCACCCGAAGGAAAAGTGTGGTGTCATCTACAAACCATAAATGAGACACTAAAAACTATCCCTTAAATTCCCTCTCCCCTCCAAAACCCCTTTTCTATGGGGAAAATACGAAAGGTATAAAGTTTTGAATTCCATTGGTAAGTTTTTTGAGCTTACCGACATTAAGCTCTCTTTACTCTTTATCTTTTTCTGGCTCAATTTTCCTCTTTGTCTTATATTGTTCGATTTACTATTATGTAACAAATTTAGTTATCCTCATTATGTGAAGTCCCTTTGACTTATATAATATACAAGAGGAGATTTTCTAGCTTTTGGACCTAGGTTTTTATATAGCATTCCTTGAAAATTTGTTGCATCTATGGGATATCAATGTTTGACCTGGTATTTAGTTTGTGAAGTTCCTTTTGAGGAATCTAGGGTAAACCAAACCAAGCCTTAAGTCCCATCAAATGGGGTCGGCTACATGAATCTTTCTTCTCCACTCAACTCTATCCAAGCCCATTTCGTTGAGCAAGGATCCTCTAGAGTTTTTTTTTTTCCTAAAGTTTCCTAGAGTGGTGCATTGTGTGGTTGAGATTTAATGACAAGTCACATCAATTTTTCAGCATTAAATCTCAACCACACAATACACCACTTTAGAAAACTTTAGGAAAAAAATACTCTAGAGGATCCTTGGTGCATTTCCTTAGTCAAATTAAGGAGATTCATATCTCTATTTATTACACTAGTTCACGTCAATCTAGGTCTACCCCTTCTCCTAACACTACCATCTACCGTCCATGTATCGCATCTCTTCACTACTACCTCTATTGGTCTTTATTGTATATGAACAAACCATCTCAATCTATTCTCTCTCAACTTAACTTTTATTGGTACTACTCCTACCCATTCTCGAATATACTCATTCTTAACTCTGTTTTTTCTAGTCCTGCCACACATCCACCTTACCATCTTCATCTCAGCAACACTCATCTTCTCTACATGTTTCTTAGTTGCTCAACATTCCGTCTTCATACAACATCACTGGTCTAATAGTCGTTCTATAGAACTTCTCTTTTAGTCTAATGGGTACTCGTTTATCGTAGAGTACTCCAGACGCACTCTTTCACTTAAGCTACCCCGCCTTAATTCTGTGGACCACATCAGCTCCAATCTCCTCAGTCGTCGTGATAATTGATCCAAAATAGTGAAAATGTTCACTCTTAGGTATGGTTTTCAATCTTTACTTCTCCTCTGCTTCCATTGTGACTGTTACTAAAATTATACTCCGTATACTCTGTCTTAGTTCTACTTATCCTAAATCTTTTAGATTCAAGCGTTTTTCTCCAAATCTCCAACTTAGTGTTAACGTCTTCTCCAGTTTTATCCACTAACATGATATCATTTGCAAAAAACATACACCATGGCACATCGTCTTGAATATTGCGCGTAAACTCATTCATAACTAAAGCAAAAAAATAAGGACTTAAGGTTGATTCTTGGTGTAACCCTACAGAAATTGGAAATTTACTCGTCTCTCCAGCAGGCAATCTAACCACACCTTCATACATGTCCCCAATCACATCAGTGTAACCTTTTGTCACCCCTTTCTTCTCTAATGCCCACCAGATTATATCCCGAGTCACTTTATCATATGCTTTCTCAAGATCGATAAAAACTATATGAACGTTTCTTTCTTTTCTCTGTACTTTTTTATTAATCTCCTTAAAAGATAGATTGCTTCCATTGTTGACCTACCAAGCATAAATCCAAACTGATTCTCTGACACCTCTGTTATATCTCGTAATTAACGTTCCATCACTCTCTTTCACACTTTCATTGCGTGACACATTAACTTGATTCATCTATAGTTGTTACAATTCTAAACATCTTTATTGTTATACATTGGTACTAAAATATTCTTCCTCCACTCCTCTGGCATTTTCCTAGTCAACAAAATCTTTCTAAATAACCTAGTCAATCAAACAACTCCCTTCTTACCCAAACATTTCCACGCTTCAATAGGTATAACATCAGGTCCTAAAGCCTTATTCAATTTCATCTTCTTAAGTGCAAACTCTACTTCAAAGTCCCTAATCCTACGATAGAACTTATGGTCTTGGTTTTCCTTATTACTGGCTACTTCCTCCCCTTTTGATCTACCTCCATGTTCCTCATTTAACAACTTCTCAAAATAGTTCTTCCACCTCTCCTTAATCTCTTCATTCTTTACCAACACATTAGAGTCCTCACCCTTGATGCACTTAACCTGATTAAAATCTCTTATTTTTCTCTCTCTTATCTTAGCAAGTCTGTATATCCTCTTCTCTCCCTCATTACTATCTAGTCTAGTGTATAGATCATCATAGGTTTTCAACTTAGTCTTCCTTACTACTTTTTTGACCTCCTTGTTGTCCAATCTTTAGCATTTAAGGTTTTTCTCAGTTCTATCATTCTATCACTTTTTAAAGCTATCTTTTTTCGTCTTTATTACTGCTTGAACCTCCTCCCTCCTCCACCAAGTTTCCCTAAAGTTGGGTCCCTTTCCTTTCGACTCTCGAAGAACTTCCCTTGAGATTCTCCTCATATAATTGGCCATCGAGTTCCAGATAGTTTTAGCATCATCTTCCAAGTCTCAAGTGCCTTCGTTATCCATTCTATTCTTAAATGTGTCTAGTTTATCCCTTTTTAGGTCCCACCATCTAGGTCTATGACGCCCACTATATTTCCGAGTTCGGTATTGCCCTTTACAGCATAAATCTAGTACCAAAATCCTATATTGAGACGTCAAGCTCTATCTAGGAATCACCTTACAATTGCTACATTTTAGATGGTCTCCTTTTCTTACTAGAAAGTAATTTATTTGGCTCCTAATCAAATAATTGACCCACTCTTGAAGGTTATCAAATGCTCATCTCTCTTCTTATACATAGTATTGGCCACCACTAGGTCAGAAGTCAACACAAAATCTAAAATACTCTCTCTAGCCTCATTTCTATCATCAAAACCATGCCCACCATGCACCTTCTCATACCCTAGTTTATCTACTCTTACATGGTCATTGAAATCGTCATCTATAACTACGTTCTCTCATACAGGTATCTCCTGTAATACCTCATCCATTTGGTCCCAAAAAATTGTCTTAGTCCGATCATCTGATCATCTAATCCTACTTGGAGGGCATATGCACTAATAACATTCACTATATTCTCTCCAATTACTAGTTTAACTAACATAATTCAATCACATTTCCTAATGACCGCAACTACATTTTCTACAAGACTCTTGGCAATTATTATTCCTACCCCATTCCTGTGTCTATCCTTGCCACTATAATATAGTTTAAAACCTGTATCCTCTATTTCCCAAGCTTTCTCACCCGTCCATTTAGTTTCTTGTACGCAAGCTAACTCTTCTCCTAATCATGACATCTACCAATTCCATAATCTTACCAGTTAAAGTTCCTATATTTCATGTGGCTATCCTAAACCTATAATCTTGGACTAGCTTCTTTATCCGTGCTCGTCCAGAACAACGCGAAAACCTTTGCCCATTTTTCACCGCACTTAGGCTTCGATATGGTGCCCCTTGCTCACTTTTCGAAACACCCAGAGGCAGGAGCAACGTGTTCCTTAAGGAGAACGACCTAGTATTTAATCAATTCAAAGTATTAGTCTTCATGTCATAAAGGATCTGAGCAGCTTTTTTACGTGTTGGCTGTCGGTACCTAACACACAACCCTCCTCCTTTACAAGGGTCTTGCGATAAAGTCTTAAACATGAGGTATGCATCTATTTGGCTTGTATTCAATGAAGGGTTCCTTGTCCTTTCTTTGGACATTTTCTTTCTGTAAAAGTTCAGATTTGGTTTCTTTATAATCCATACTTTTATGACGAATGACAAACTTTCTAGGGTTCCTCCTTGTTTTTCCCTTCTTATTTTATTTTTCTTATTTGTTATAATGTTATGCAATGTTTATATTTGATGCAGAACTCTGTTCACCCTCCATATCTCTTGCTAGTTTTGCAGAACTATATCCACAAAAAATGTGCAAGCTTCAGATGTGCGGCCTCTTCCAGTTCTGGACGATACTTTAAACTATCTCTTAAACTTGTTGGATACTAAGGAACATCCCTTTGAAGTGGTACATGACTTCATCTTTGATCGGACAAGGTCCATAAGGCAAGATCTTAGTATGCAAAATATTATCAACAATCGAGTAATCCAGATGTTTGAGAAAATGGTAATTATTTTTATTATTGTTGTTTTTGCTATTATCGTTTCTTGTTGGAAACATCAGTCTGATTTATCTAGGCAATTATTTCCCTCTAGGATTTACTATATCCTCTTGTGAAGTTTCCCTCTTTAATTTTTTCTATCACAATTCAGAAAGCTGGTATGAGGATACACAAGTAACTTACTATCATATGATAGTTATTTTGCAATGGCAGTAATCTATTATGTATTTATATAATGAAGTAGATGATAAATCACAAAATTACCCTTCAATAATCTTTTGTGTATTTTTGAAACCCATGATTCTTTCTTCTTGGGCAAGACTCTGCATAACTTGATGTCTTAACCTGACTTCTTGTGCTCAGCTAATTGTTGAAGCAACAGTAGCAGCTCAGTTAATTGTTGAAGCAACTGTAGCTCTCAATTGAGAGTTGGATGCTTACTATGGCATCAGAGAAAGGGAAAGATGGAAAACTAAGTGCCTAAACTCAAATCATACACCACCTTTGCCATTGACCCGATTTGATCCCCCTTGATTGGAGAAAACCACTGGTAGGGTTCCCTTTCGAATAGCCTTTTGTCGAGTTCCATTAAGGAAAATTTTGACATGACGTGTTTTATAGGATGAAAACTTGACAATGTTCTCATGGCGTAGTCAAGTTGAAAAATGGACATCAAAGGAAGTAACCTTGTAGTCAGTTTACAGTATGATATAAGGGCCATTATCCATTTGTGTGCAGAGGGTAGCAATTAAGGACTATAAATAGACAAATATAGCCTCCAAAATGAGAATTCACACTTGAATGTAAGGAATCTTGGTGTAGTAGCCAATGTTATAACTTTTTACACCAATGTAATGAAACTACCCATCTAATTTAAATTCAGGGAGAAAAACGTTTTCTTTGTTTTTCATGGTTAAACAATTAGTTTATGGAGAGATCGAATGATCAATAATGATGCCCTTTTGGTCCCTTCATCTTCCTAATGAGATTTGCATTTGTTGCATAAACTAGTAACTCTGATATTGATATATTAATTAGAAAATAAGAGGAAAAAAACCAAGTTTGCTAGATTCAGATTTGAGCTCCAAAACACCTGCATTTCAAGATGAATCCCACAAACTTTGACAATATATTTGTTTGAAGAACTAATTCTTGACTATTTAAAGTTTCCTGTGGTACTCTAGATACAGTTTAGGACTTGCAGCTTCTTTTTTTGATGTAACTTTTGGCCCTTGTTTTGTGCACTCCACGTCCTTTTTTTGATGTAACTTTTGGCCCTTGTTTTGTACACTCCACATCTATGAAGTATGGGTATTTCAACAAACATGCCGTACCCATAGCTGGTACTTATTGGCATATGGTACTTCGTATGGTATCTCTGTGTATGTACCGGGTACAAGAAACATATAACCAAATTTTTTCTTCTTAATTTTTGGCATACCTAGGCATACTTAATATATGTTATAATAGGAAATTATATTGTTAGAATAGGAAATTATATTCACATATTTCATTCTGATTTGATGTAATGGGCTGCCCTATTCCAACCATACACAGCAGCCATACCCAACCACATTCTTTCGACACACTAAAGCCTCTCTTCTCTTCTCCGACAACCTCTCTTCTTCACCCTCTCACATTGACAATCAACCCAGCCCAGACCAGGCCTCACGAAATCCCTTGCCCAGGCCTCGACAGTCCGCCTGGGCTACCCAACACCCTATTAGGGTGTGTCGACAATCCCTCTGGCCTTCTAGGGTCTATCGAGAGCCCCTCTGGCCCTCTAGGCTTGTGTCGGCTTGCTCTCTTGCATCCAGGGCTCCTATCGACAAGCCTCCAGGGCTCTCCACGTAACGACAGTTTCTCTGGCCCTCTAAGCCTCTATCGGCTTGATCTCTTGCATCCAGGTCTTCTGTCGGCAAGTCTCTCTCTCTCTCTTTTGTAATGTTTTCAACCTAAAATACAAAAAACACAAAAAAGGGGAGAAAATAAATAAAAAAAATGCAGTGAAAAAAAATAAAAAATACATGAGTTCTTAATTCTTTATGCTTTCATCGTGGTAGTTATGTCTTTCCTTTTACTATTATCTTTCGGATTTGTGATTGACATTGTGTTTGAGAGTTAAATAGTAGAGTATCCATGGCAGATTCCCTTAGTGAATCCACTATTTCTCAGCCACCTAAGAGCAAGGAAGGGGAATTTCTCATAGGGAGGGTAACTTCTCACAGGCTTTCGAGTTACGTCGCTCCATTGAAAGGTCGGTACAAAGTAAAATGACTATCCTCCAGTATTTTACCCTCCTTAGCAATGGGTGGAAGTGGCTTGATCACTTTCAGGATTACACGCCTGTCTGTCCCACTGATTCTGCTAGTTACCGAAAGTTTGTGGCGCAAGAGCAGGTCTTCAAGTTCTTAGAAAGCCTAAATGTGGAGTATGATCCGGTTCGGAGCAAAGTACTTGGCATAGATGTGTTTCCTTCTCTCCAGGAAGTCTTTGCTTTTATGCAGAATGAGGAGAGTCGTCGCTCTGCGATGCTTCCTTTTGCTACTACTGACGCTCGGCCTTGGTTTCTGCACCTCCTCGTGATACTCGTGGTTCTCGTCCTTTCTTTGGTAAGGATGATCTTTTCTGTGACTACTGCCGTAGATCTCGACACACACGACATGTTGGGAGTTGCATGGGACTCCCTCTGGTGGTCGAGGAGACCGTCCTAGTACTTGAGGGGGTAGGTCTGGTCAGTCTAGAGGCGAAGAGGCCAATGCTCGGGCACATCTTTCAGACATTGTTGAGCCACTATCTTCATCTCCAGTTGTCTTCCCTGCTACTGATGTTTCGGGATTATCTGCTTTGGATTTTGAGATTGCTCTTTGCCACTTGCTAGACCGTCGAGCCTTCATTTCTGCTACAGGTGCACCCTCTTCTTCCTTTGCCAATTCAGGTAACTTGGTTTCTTCCCTATGTCCATCATTTATCTATCCAGTTACCATCCACCAAGGAAGACATTTGGCTGTAGCACTGTCGCTTAGGACATCCCTCCTTTTTATTACTTAAGTATTTATTTCCTTCTGTTTTTGAGAAAAATAATGTGTCTGATTTTCAATGTGAGTTGTGTCAACTTGGAAAACAACATCAAGCCTCTTTTGCTCTGTCTATTAATAAAAGTTAGTTCCGTTTCATTTTCTTTGATTCATTCTGATGTATGGGGTCCGTCCCGTTTTGTGTCTTTAAAATGTTAAAATTGGTTTGTTACTTTCATCGATGACTATTCCAAGGCCACTTGGGTATATCTGATGAAAGAAGAGTGAGGTGTTTTTTGTGTTTCAAAACTTACATAAAATGGTTTCTACTCAATTTGGGGCGGTTGTCCAAATTCTACGTTCTAATAATGGAAGGGAATATATCTGACTCTGGTCTTGCCCATTATTTCGCCACTCAGGGCATTATTCACCAAACTTCATGCACTAATACCCTTCAACAAAATGGTGTTGTAGAACGAAAAAATCGCCATCTCTTTGGTATGGCCCGTTGTCTATCCTTTAAGATACGGGTTCTTCGATCCTTTTGGGGGGAAGCGGTTCTCATTGCCTCTTATTTGATTAATTGTCTTCCTACTCAAGTCCTTCACAAATAGACACCTCTTCAAGTTTTATTCGGGTCTACCTCTTTTGGGTTCTCTATTTGTCCTATGACCTTTGGCTGTGTTTGCTTTGTCCATAATTATTCACCCACTCGTGATAAATTGGATCCTAACTCTCTTAAGTGTATTTTTTTGGGTTATTCTGCAATCCAAAAGGGTTATAAGTGTTATCATCCTCCCACTCACAAATGGTTTGTTTCAATGGATGTCACCTTCTTTGAGTCTCAGTTCTACTTTCTCACCTGCCCAATGTCACAGTCATCGCTTCAAGGGGAGCCTTGGTGTGCATAGATTGTTCCACTACCGCCACTGGTTGAACAGATTGCGGATGATGAACCAGCAGTTGTCGTGGAAAAGAAAGCAGGCAAAGTTTATGTCGGGGATAAAGATAGACAGAAAGTCACCTAGATGTAAGAGAATACTTTCCTTTCTCTACTCCCAACTTCTTCTCTGGATGAGTGTCCAGAGTCATCCTACTTTCCTAAAAACCCAGGTAATTCTGATCCTAATGCTCCTATTCCTGAGTTTTTAGATCTTGATGTTCCTATTGCTAATAGGAAGGGGGTTAGGTCATGTACTCAACATCCGATTACTAATCATGTCTCTTATTCTAATATGTCTTTCTCATGTAAAGTCTTTCTATCTAAGATTTCTTCTATCAGCCTACCTACCAATTTTCAGGATGCTCTCTCTATTCCTGAATGGAAATATGCCATGATGGAAGAGATGAGAGCTCTCAGCGAGAATGACACTTAAGAGTTAGTAGTAGAGTTACCTACAGGCAAAAATCTAGTTGGGTGTAAGTGGTTGTACACTGTAAAACACAAAACTGATGGTTTCATAGAACGGTACAAAGCGAGATTGGTTGCTAAGGGCTTTACTCAAACTTATGGGGTAAATTACCGGGAGACATTTGTACTGGTGGCTAAAATAAACTCTGTGAGAATACTACTCTCTTGCAGCAAATTTGGTTGGCCACTTCATCAGTTTGATGTAAAGAATGCCTTCCTTCATGGAGACCTAGCAAAAGAGGTCTATATGGATATTCTCCCTGGTTTTGCCGATGCTAAGTCCAAAGGTAAAGTATGTAGGCTCTGGAAGTCCCTTTATGGGCTAAAGCAATTTCATAGGACTTGGTTTGAAAGGTTTGCTCAAGTTATGCTGAGATATGGGTTCAAGTAAAGTCAAGCTGATCATACCGTATTTGTGAAACACTCCTCACATGGTAAGACCACAACTCTTATTGTTTATGTTGATGATATTGTTCTGACAGGGGATGACGTTGAGGAGATCCTTTTGTTGAAGGAATACTTAGCCAAAGAGTTTGAAATCAAAGACTTGGGTGATTTGCTAAAGGAAACTGGGATG